GGGCGGCGGGGGCCCGCGGGACCGGGCGCACCGCTCGGCCTGCGGGAGCTGCAGCGCTTTGGCAGTGCGCGTCTCGGGGAAACGCAACCAAGCAGCAATGTGTTTCCTTGCTCTCACGACCTGTGGAAAGTAGCGGTGAACCACGTCCTGGCTTGTGCCCTGCAGCAGCTGCCCCATGGCGCTCACCAGGCTTAAACCCAGACTCGGTACTGCATGTGGAGGAGACGTACGACACACACAGGAGGAATTTCACAACGATGGTAATGCTTGTTGCAAGTCTTATTGCTCCAGAAAGGCCCTGAAAGCCTCTGATATGTGAAGGAGCTGGGTCCTGAGGAGTAAAGGAAGACCACAGGGGTAACTCCTATCTGTCACTAGCTGAACCTCAAACACAGCAGCAAGGGGACAAAGGGGAGCTAATCTAACCCTGCTAGGCTACAGCCATCTCTGCTCTCTCCTCCGTGTGGACCAAAGCTGGCTGGGAGACCCCCCCCTCCCCGCACCACCTGCAAGCTGCTGGAGGTGTCCGACTGGCTGCAGGCTGGTGCAGACAACGCGTTTCCCAGTCCTCCTGAGGCTTGGCTTGTTCCCCCCCCCCACCCCACATCCCTCTTTAAAACAGCATAGTCAGAAGTAAACAGTTTCATACAATCACTCCTACAGCGCGGCAGGCCGGGGCGCCGGCTGCAGCACAACCTCGGGCTTCACGCCAGCCTCGAGGGCGGCGGGGTTTCCCAGCGAGGACGCTCGGCTCTCACCAGGGCCCCTCCGGCATCTGGATGTTTAGCTTCGGTGCCGCCTGCGAGATGGCAGACAGCCTTGCAGAGCAGGCTTCGGGCTGCTTTCCTGCAGCTTGAATTTTCCCAGCTGCACATCCAAATGCCAAAAACTTCTCTTACGGGGGGAGAAGTTCAGCCTGCAGGAGCTGGGCAGGAGATGCTTGAAAGACCCAGCGCAGAAGAGATGCCTAAACATCTCTCACATTGCGACACATGCAGGTTTGAGCCGTTCCCCGTTGCACCTTGTTCTAGAGGGAGCACCGGTCTGGGCCAAAGTAACTGGAAGAGAGATGCTAGGAGCTTGTAAACACTAGGCAGCTTCCTTAATAGTCTGGGGAGTTGAGTGAAAACAGCAGCAAAGTCATCAGGGGGAAATACTTTTAAAAGGACAAACTAAATAGGGGAACATCCACATTGGCCAAAGGCTAGCAGCCCTAGGACCCTTCCTCGGAAGTGTTTGCTAAATCCTAAGTAAGGCACTACGGTCTAGCTCACTAACATCAAGCTGCTGTGAAAACACAACTGCAACGCAAAAGCTGAGGTGGAGCCATGTGGTCTGAAGATAGCTTGAAACTGTGATGGGCCAAGAGGGTGACCCTCGCGGGGCTGGCCGCACGCTCTGCCTGCCAGCTCTCTGAACAGGCGATGCCTCCCGCGGCTCGCTCCTGGCCCCAGGGAAGAACAGGGGGCTCACAACCAGCTCAAGGCCAGCAGCCCAGTGAGTGGCCCACTCATCTTTCCCCTCCACATCCTGCATTTCAGACTCGGTTTCTATGTATACAGGCATTGAGAGGGACTCGGCACCCAGGAACAAACACACAAACAGGCTGCTAGCTCTGTGTATCACAAGCAAGCAAGCTCCAAGAGCAGTTCTGCAAGGTATCCCCTCCATCTGGGGCACGACAGCTCTCCTGCTAAGAAGCTCCCTTCTCCCAGGGCACAGTGCGCAGGGAAGGGTCCTTCTGGCAGAGAAAGCCTGTGTGAGCAGCTTCGGGAGGGTAAAGCCCTCTTACTCCACCAGCTCAAGCCAGGGTAAGGTTTTAACAGTCAGCAGCAAAGGCTCTATTAGGTGGAAGAACAACGGTTCAGTGATTTGGGCACTAACGCTGGAGTTGTAAAACATAGGGTTCAGTCCTCACTTCCTTGCAGCCCTCCCGTGGGATGCTGGGCCAAGCACGGGGGCTCTGCAAGCCCTCTCAGGAGCGGGGTGAGAAACCTGCACTTGACTCCCTGGAGGGGCCTCAGCACGGCTGCTACTAGGGATCTACTACGAGTTGGAGAGAAATCAGAGCAGCCAAACTGCAGTTCAAAGCCCCCGAGAGCGCTCTGTGGCCAAAGCTGAGCGCACAGCCTGCTAACCAACCCTGAACTGCCTAAACCCCAGTAACCAGCCAGGAAGGAGTTTGTACAGCCCTGGTCTGGCTGTGGCTGGCCACAACCCACAGAGGCATCCCTAGGAACAAACCGAAGAGCCAAGTGGGAACAGGTGCACAATTTGTGCTGGCCAAAGCATCACCCATGGCCTCAAGCCTCATGGCATCAAGCCTCATGGCATCATCATCCTGAGGAGGACCCAGCCCTCCTCCAGTGACAGCCTTAGCCTTGAGTCCTGGAACAGATGGAGGGAGGAGAAAAAACAACTCCTTCCCTCCCCTTTTCCCAGCTTTAGCTCTGCCCTAGCTCACATACGTTTACTGCATTTCCATTCATTCCCATGAGGCCAGTAAAACATACTAGAGTAGATACAAGGAGGTGCTGTCAGCTTAGGAGCCTTTCAGTGATGATAAATGGAAAGCCAGAGCCTGAACACAGGCCAGGGACAGTTCCTACAGCCAGGAACAGGGGAGTCAAGGGGACCTTCTTCTGCCTGTGAACCTGGCCAGCTCCTGGTGAGGGCTGGGAACGGTGCTTGATCTGAACAGCCTGTTCCCCAAACTGGTGCCAGCTGATTTAACCTGGAGGGAAATGTTTCAGCTGGTTCAGCAGAATTTGCAGGATAGAGAAGAGGTGGTGCTTTACACTGCATTTACAGCGAGCTACGTCTAAAGACATCACGTGGGGTAAGCCCCAGAAAGTCAGTGTTGCTCTAAATATAGGCAAGGAAATTGCGTATTAACTGCTCAGCCTGAGGTTCCAATCTCCTTACCTGAGCATCCTGCTGACCTGTAACCAAGTGAGCAAACCTAAACAGCAGCATTGCCTTTTGCTTCCTGGAGAGAGCTATCTAGCAAGGAAGTGTTTTGCAGGAGGCTAGAATCCAGCCTGTGAGCCATTTAGGCCAAACCTCCTCCTCTCCCTAGCGCTGTTCCTAACAGCTGAAGTTTGCCATAAGTGAGTTCAAATTAGTGGATTGTGTTCTGTTTTTCTTGTATGTAGACAACATCTGCCCGAAAATATACCTACTGGCTCCCCACTGCCCCCTGTATTGCAAGACTGTCCATAACAAATTTCACTAATGAAAACCAGCCCAGGGAGAATAAAGGTCTGTCCATCCCAGAGGCAGACCTGCCTTGCAGAATGGCTTTCCAGCTTGTTTGTACTACTCTATCCTAACATCAACTGCTTATAACCTGAGCAGCACTTGCCTATTCAGAAGTTACCTGGCTACGAAATCATTAACTGCTTGCAACACGCAGTCTCTGAGACTCACTTTTTCTGAAGCCTTGCACTCCCAGCGCAAACCCAGCAATCACCTCATCCCCTTCCCCTGGGGGAAGCGATAGCTTTAACCCCAAAGTTGTGCCCAGCTGGACTCAGACATGAGGCCTGGCAGCATTTCACACCGCAGGGCTCCTGCTTCCCACCTGTTTCAGAACCAGATCTCTAGAAATATCTGAGTCAAACTGCAGCACAGGGACACAGGGATGGCTGGGCAGTGGCAACTTTCTGAATCTAATTCAAGAATAGTTTCATGAGAGCTGTTTAGCTTGTACTCTTCGGCAGGCCCACGCAGCCCCCCTCGCACAACCCCAAAATACCTCTTCCCAACAAAACAAAACACCCAAAGATTTCACATTGCCAAAGATCCTGCAGGCCAGAGATCTTCTATATAGTCTTCTTCCCTTATCTTCAACTTCCCTCGTTGCACGTAAGTAATGGAGATTATGGGTCCCTGGTAAATAAACCTGCCAAAAAAAAAAAAAGATATCAGGCATGTCTGTAATTTTGTCCCAGTCACTAAGACGTGACTGAAGAAGAGAATGCAGCGTCCCACCAAACCTCCCTGTCCCAACCCAGACCGCAGGCAGGTAAAGCGAGGTAAACTGTAGTTGCTGCGTCTCTATTTTTCACTTCCAACCCTTAATTAAAGCAGTATTTGAGAGAGTGGGAGAACTCGAGATGAATGCAGTTTCTTATTACATGGTTAAAACCAATGACTTTTAAATAATGCCTGTGAAAAATCACAGAGTAGAACGTGAAAGGGAGCATCGCCGGAGTCATTCATCCGCCTGGATGGAAGCGCTGTAGGACACCGCTGCAGGACACCGCTGCGGAGAGGGTGTCCTTGCCCAAGGCTTTCCTGCTAGTCCCGGTAAGTCTGAGATGAGCTTTATCATCTCTCCTTACTTAGCAGTGCTTTTGTTACCGAGCCAGGCCTGTCTCTTGTGGGTCTGGACTCCCTTTAGAGTCATTGCTTTTGAGAAAGTGATTCAGATAGTTTTGTACAAAGAGCATGTAGCCAGGGTAAATACGTATCCAGCCACCTCAGCACATGAGCCAGGATCAGCTGTCTCACAGCTGAGCCTGGCGTTATGTTTTCATAACACAGCTCCCTCCTACAGGGTTTGGAGCATCAGTCCAGCCAAAGCTAGGATGCACGTTTATCATGACGGATCCTGTCCTTGAGGGTCCACACGACGTGCCCCGGAGAGCGCTCACCGGTAACGCTTCCGACTGTCTGCACAAACAGGGACACTTTGACTCCACCACCCTGTGCGTCAGCAGCAGCTCGGGCTCTTCAAGTGGCTGTGCAAGAGGCAGGTAAAATCTATTTTGGTACAACTTAAAGCAGAGCAGGACTGGTTCTCAGCGCTGCCACGCTGCACTCAACAGCCTGCAAGGACGCCGAGCGCCAGGGCGCTCTCTGGGGTGCGCTCTTGGGGCGGGGGGGGGGGGGCTTTGCCAGGCCCTCTCCCGCCTGGATCAAGCAAGTGGCTCTTCAGTTAAACCAAGCAATAGCACCTGAGCAGCAGGAAAGACTTGCTGAAGAAAAACTGCTCCTGCCCAGCAAATTATTCAAATCCCTTAGCCCTAGGAAATCTCATTAAAGAAATACATGCTGAAAGAACGCGTTTCTTAAAGAAAGCAGCTGCCTCTGCTGCTCAGAGCAGAAACCAGGACCACATGCGCACTGCTTCATAGGGGAGTTGGACTGGGAAAGGCTGCCTTTGTAGGCTGCAGATCAGAAAAAAGCCTTTCTACTTAACAAGGGAGGCTCGCGAGAGCCACTGGGACATCAGGTCAGGGGGACTAGCGCAACAAATTTTCTGGAAGATTTCTCCTGTGCTGCAGCTTCATTAGCAAGTAGGATAGCATTTCTGTTCATGTTTCCCTGGAGAAGGAGCGTCTTCAGGAAAGATGCCTTGTTTGAGCAGTCTCGAGCTCTCACCTCTGAGACGGAAGAGCTCACTACACTGACGCATGTTGTTTCAGCGGCTGGTTCAAGAGCTTTTAATCCCTCCACTTATGCCACTTATAGTTTTAATCAGCTCAAACGTCCATTGGGCATCAGCAGGATATGAACCAGCAGCCCATGAAGTCCTCATCCAGCACCTAATACAGATGACACCAACGTCCAGGTCACAGGAGAGCTAGTCAGAGGTGGCAACACAGTACTTGTGGAGGCAGAGGGCCCTAACATAGGGGAGGCAGATAACTCAGCACCTTCTCCTGTTAATCACATCACCTGCCCTGCACGCACATGCAGGGTGCAGGGACAGGGTTGAGAGTCTCCTTTACTTCCCAGGTTGTTTGTCATGCTCTTTATGTACGTATACATGTGAAACACTCCTTTGGGAGCTCCCTAAATGTGACTGCAGCGCCTTCTGCCAGGGCAGGAAGAAGGGGGGGGGGGACAGCAAGCAAACAAGACCACCACCATATCTGGCCAGAAGTGATATGATCCGCATCATCCAGAGGGGACCACTGCTCTCCAGGTAGCATCTACATTGCCCAGGAACACGTTACCACTCAGCACAGAGGCCCTGGGGATGCTGCTGGCTGCACCTGCTGTTACTGCCAAGAGAGGAAGTGATCTTGCTTTTATGCTATTCTAGGGCTTGTTTTGTCCAAGCCAAGATTCACAAACCACACTGAAAATGGTCTGTAGTCAAAGCCAACATTGATTCAGAAATGAAACTACTATACTTTTTCCTTGACTTGCTCACATGTTCCTGTCTAGCAGTGCCAGAGCAGCTTTACTGCAAAGGAGTTGAGAGGGGTGCTACCAGACAAGGTCTACTACCCTGCAGAGCTTTGCTCCTTGACAGCTTGCAGTCAGAGACATTTCTTATGTGCATCTGATTCCTGCCCTCCAGATCTAAAAAGCTGTACATTAGCAATTTATTACCTGTGCTCAGCAGCAGTCCAGCAACGCTGGCTGCTCTTTGGCAGAGCACCGGAGCATCCTTGCAAATGTGCTAATCAGGGAGAAATGCCATCATGTGGGGTGAGCAGATGAGCTTTTCCAGCATCTACTCAGTTTCGTTTTGAAAATACAAACAGGAGAACAAAGCAAATGTAAACAGTGACTGTCAGGTGCAACTAAAACGATCAAAACCCATGGCAGGAGGAAGAGGAGTACTGGAGCAAGCAAGCAGCAGCTCAGGCTGTCAGCCATTTCCCTACTGAAGGCAATACCTGAAATAACGCACGTCTGAACTGACACCGACTGCGCCGATTCCTGCCGTTCATCTTGAGTGTCCACTCCTAAACCAGACCAGCTATTTTATCAACAGTGAAAAAAACATCATGGAATATGATCTACCACAACAAGCTGCCCCCTGCACTGACCAAAACCATTGCTGTTTGTAGTTGTAATTCCTGTAGGACATCAAATTTTCGTAAACACTAAATCATTCAGGTACTTGTTCACACTTAAAAACAAGGCCATGGCATCTGAACTGTGTGCTGGTAGGAACGTCAGTAATGAAATCACTGATTTTCCTGTGACTTCATCTTACACTGGCTGTGAGTAAAGCTTGCAAGGAGATGGTGGAAGATGCTGCTACTTGCTCCTTTTGTGATCTGCTTGTCTTTGTGGCCAAGATCAGTGGAGCCAGCCATGTACCTCACTCCTTAGCAGTGACTTGTTTAAGAAGTGGACAATTCACACTGTACAAATCCATAACATCAGAGACTCTCCCACTGATGATGCGGTATATTCGGGAAGGAACATGCCTCCCTTGGGGAACTCAAAGTATAGCTGCTAGAAAGACAAGAGAAGGAAGTCAAATGTTCACGTAGAGAGGAGAAAAGGAGAGATGTGAGCAGCTCCAGCAATGTGAAACCAACCTCAGGATGGAGGGCACCGTGACTGGGTGCAAAATCCTCCACTGATATAGAAATGAGGAAGAAGAGGCAGTCCTCAGTCCCCCTGCGAGCAAGGCACAGGGCTGGAGATTTGCTAGCATGGCCCCACACCTAAGGACACAGCAGCGCTACCTGGCACAGCAGGACAACTAGAGCCAGCTAAGCACCTATTTTTTTTTTTTTTATAACTACTTTCAGACTTATGGGAAGTTATCCTGCATCACTAAGTAGGGGTGAAACAGCCCTTAGTGTAGACTGCAGTCACAGTAACGGGCTATCACACAGCAATCAAGAGATTAACAGCAGGTACCCGCCGCAGTCCAACCACTTGCTAATTGTACTAGAATGTTTTTTGTCCCCTATGCCCAAAAGGCATGTTTGTGGTAATCAGGCTTGAGATAGCTCTGTCCTCCAGAAGATTTGGGAGCCCACTGTTCAAATAAGAAAGAGGAGACCCTCATTTCCCCCAGGGAATGCACAGCTTGCTGCCAGCCTGCGCAGAACCCAAAGCCCTGGGATGACAAGAGTGTGGCAATAATCAGGCTTGTCTCCACCCTCATCACCCTGAAGTTCAGCAGAAGCCAAGCCAAAAACACTTTCCTGGCTGAGAACTGATATTTAATTTCTGCATTTTGGAGGGGTAACAGAGTATGAAGTCTGCTGACTGGCAGGTTCTTGCAGCAGGACTGCCAGGACATGAAGCAAAACCAGTATAGGTCAATGACATACCAAGGAATAAGTGAAAATGTGACTGCCAGGATCACGGAGGGATACAGTTTTCAGGTTTTGACATGAACTAAGTCTGCCCGGGGTCTGAAATTGTCCTAGGAAAAGGGGAACTCTTGTTCACTGCACTGTCTGACACCTATATAAGACACACACAAGTGCCACAAGTATGTTGGAAGAGGTCATTTGAGTTTCATGGTCAACCTAAATTACCCAAGAGGAGAGTTCAGAAGCTGCTCTCAATCCCATTTTAAGCTTCTCAAGCACGTTTCCAGTTTAAGATTTACATTTAATAACAGCCCAGCAGTAGCAAGAGGCAGGTTGATTCAAAGGCACAAGCACACAGTTCATAAAAGCCCCTATAGGAAAATGCACCAAATGCATCCTGCTGCCCTGCAAGCAGAACACAGCAACGCTTCCCCACCGCGCAGCACAACGCACAGCGTTTGCAATGAACATATGGCTGGTGCTCAGCTCCTATCTGGGCCACGCAGAGCCCAGCCGCGGCGTGCGGGCTGGATTGTTATATAAGTGTAGCCATCTCGCTTGCAGCGGTGTCGCTAGCGGAAATGATTGGTGCAGACTCAAGGCTGGCTCCATCCATGGATGGAGGGGGGTTCAAAAGGCAGCTGGGTTTTCAGCAAACAGCCCCAGGGTAGGACTGTCCCCTCGGTGTTTGTTATCCCTGCATGTACTATTCTGCAGTTATGCGCAGGATGAATTTTCCCCCAGAGGGCACCGGCTTGTTGCATAACTCAGCAGCATCATGTTAGCACAGCACGAGTGATCACAGATGGCAACAGCAGAGGCAAAGCCTGACCCTCAGCCACACAGCGCTAGCTGCTTTCAAAACCCAACTGCCAGCCGCACAAGAAGAGAAACGCCTCCTTCCCCACCGCCTTGCCCCGGGGCGCAAGGCGAGGTGCCCTGTTCTTGCCCTAGGGCTTTATCACACCCACGTGAAGAGCTCTGCAGATTCACTCCACCTCTCTGAGCCCCAGCCCCCCCCTGCACGGAGGCCAGTATCGAGCCCCAGCCCCAGGCCGCAGCAGTCGCATCAATTACTTGCACTGAAGATCTTAAGGGCGTTAAAATATTTTGTGCCTTTGTGGTGTGGAGGAGATGGTTTGTGGACCCTTCTGAACAAACCAGCAGTGTCAGGACTAGACCCACCCAATGGGCCTTTCCATAGCTATACTCCTATTTCTCCGGGCTTTGCTTTTGGGGGCATGCCAGATAACTCGCTAAGGCCCCCCCCCCCCCCCCAGGAATTATTGTCTCTTGAGGTTAAGTCCTAAGAGCTTGGCTTTTGGAGCACGGCTGTCTCAGGCAGGACAGGCAGCTGCCAAGGGTGCTGGGAGCAGCACAAAGCTCATCTGGGCACATTCCAGAGCGGTGCGTCCAGACGGGGCACGGACAGCATATCTGTTTTACATAAGCTCAGGAATGCTTGCTTTAACTGAGCAGTGAGGTGGTTTAAATACTAGCCGCCAAACAGCCTTTACGCTCCCCATCATACTGGGCACGTTACTGCTGAAGGCTCCCCATCGGGAGCAGATCGGGCACAGGGTGATCGATTGCAAAGCCCCAGACTGGCTCTTTGCTGGCTCCGGCAGCCCTGCCAGCTCTCTCCACTTTGTGTCTGGGGTTCACTTTGATCCAACAGGATCTACGTTTTCTGGATCAGGGAAGGACCGGGAAGTCCGAGCTGCAAATCTAACATCTGATATGGGCAGACTTTCAAAGATCTTCTGTGATCAGCAACATGAAAGGCAGCTCCGCCGTAGCTTGTGAAAGAGCAGGGCTCTCAAAACACAGCCTGACCTCTTGTAATCTGTAATTATTCAGTTTCATTGAAGTGTTTGGCCCGGAGAATCCCTAGTAACAGCTCTTGTTTACAGACAGCTTTGCCATGAAGGCAACACCTCTCATTCCTATGGTGTCACTGGTTACTCACACCGCCAGCTTCCCCCACCTCCTTTGGGCAGTCCTTCCAGACCATATGTGACCCTCAAGGCTTCAAGACCGGGATTCAGCAGAGAAAAATCTGAGCTTTGGACTATTTAGGAACTGAGCCTGGGGGGCAAACTCTGCCTGAACTGAGCTGAGAGCAATCTGAGTGCAACTGTTTTGTAAGCTTCCTTCCTGAACAGACTTGTGTCTCTGAACTCAGATGTTGAAGACCAAAGCATCTTACTGGGGCTTATGCAACTGCAGTTCACACCAAAAGGAAGTCCTGCATTTAGCAAGGAAACAAAGCGAGACACCACATGCCTTCTAGGTGAGAGCAAGGGAAATAGCCTCATCTGTGCCGAGAGCCCACCTGCCACTCCGCTCAGTGCGGCCCCAGCCAGCCTAGCCCCAAGCTGTAGCGTCTGAGCACACGCAGGGAGGAAGGACTGTGCAAGACAATGAGGTGCTCTCAGCGCTGACTGCTGAGATTAGATGAGGGAGCAGAGGAGACAGAACCGGCAGCTCCCTCCCTGCCTATGGGAGCAACAGATATACCCAAAGCTGATGTCAGAGGGTGTTCCTGGTGTCTCTGCTGCACACCAGCCTCTTTGTTAGTTAGCTAGTGGCCAGGACCTCCGAGGAACAGGGCTGCTGTTCAGCCCTCTTGCCTGCGCTCAGGCTTTGGGCAGCAGCGGGAAGTGCAGCTGCTAATTCTGTTTTCCATCTCTATTTTTGCAGTAGAATAGGTAGATAAAGTCTCAGAAACAGTGCTCTGATGAGTCACTATAGAAATTGCTCTGGGAACATAAAAGACTCCATTGTATCGTTACGGAGTGCATAAGCGGGCTGGTAAAGGAGACAGCATTATACAAAAAGTGCAGATCACTTACCCAGCTGCAAAGCACAGCAGTGCCCTGCCCTGAATTTAAGCAGCACACGTAACCTGGTCCATTCTGGTTTCAAGCTCAAAGGCATCAGGTCGATCCTGCGGGTTAGCAGCCAACATATCTTTCAAGAGTTGCTTGATCCCCTCAGACATGGAAGTCCTGCGTTTCTGAGGGATGTGCAGCTCCATCTTTGGGTTTTCTAGCAGCGCTTCCCCAACGGGCACAATCTCTGTCCCCTGCTTGATGTAGGTCCCCAGCAGCTCCTTCTTGGTCTCCGCGTCGATGAAAGTTATCCTCTCAATCATGGCCCAGATGATGATGCCAAGGGCAAAGATGTCAGCCTTGGCCGTGTAGTGTCCCTCCCAGACCTCAGGGGCCATGTAGAAATCAGAGCCGCAAGCCGAAGACAGCCAGTACTTGTTCACATTCACATTTTTGTTGTTGTTCCCACCCTCCTTGCCCCGAGCAGTCAGGCCAGCACAGACCTTGCTGAGTCCAAAGTCAGCCACCTTGAGAACAGGGGTGCCAGATTTCTCAGTTATCAAGATGTTGTCTGGTTTCAAGTCCCGATGAACAATATGGTTCTTGTGCAGGAAGGCGATGGCGCTGGTCAGCTGTAGCATGAAGCTCTTGTTTGTCGCTGGGTCTGGTCTTCGCGAGAGCACATACTGGTTGAGATCTCCCCCTTCGCAGAACTCCATGACAAACCAGAGATAGCAAGGCTCCTCCGCATAGCCCAGGATCCTCTCACCTTACCAAGAGACAAAAGCAAGAGTGGGTTTTTCAAACACGGTAAAGAGCGTCCACGCTTATAACTCAGCGAGGACAAGGAACAGGTCTGTTTTACAGATATATTAAACGCCTTGGAAATTGAAGCAGGACCTACTGCATGACAGGGTATATCACTGCTATTAGGCATGATTCATGTGCTCCGCAGATGATACGCACTGCCTGGCTGATGCTTTCATTACTGTGGCCTCAAATGCTTCAGGATTCTGTCAAATGAGATACACCAATGCCAAGTTTTATGAGCCTATTGCCCAGGAACCAGCTCAGGGAAACTGTTCACACTAAAATGCAAGTGTGAGTGGCACAGAGCAAGCATAGATAATCTCGGGTGCTTGGAAGGAAGTTGGAAATTTAGGGTATTTTCCTGAGCTGCCATCAGGTTTTTCTCACTGGGCTATGAAAGCCAAGGCAGCCTAAGATGAAGAGCAGAGAACCAGCAGCGAATCTGCAGGAAAGTCCGCTCTACACAAATCCCAACTCTCCCACCTGACCAAGCTGTGCTGCAGAAGCTGCAGCTGGCAAAAGGCTGGTTATACCTTAAGCTTTATTAGTATAACTGCCAGCGGGGGGAAGTAAATCACACCACTCATGTGCCAATAAAGCTTTACGGAAAGCACTTACATCGGTGTCAGAGCCTTACAGCACACTGCTGTTCTCAGACTGCACCAATCTGTTTCAGTTTAAGCGTTGCATTTATGTTAGGGGAGCTTTGCCACTTCAGACAGCCTTAGTTAAGCGTCAACAAGTCTTTAAACAGAGAAAACTGGAGGTCCAAGTAGCAAACAATGCTGTAAGTGTGATCTCAGCCATGCTTATGAATGTCTCACTCAGTGTTACTGCCTAGTTTGAGCAGAATATTACGCCCCACACAGCTTCTTCCTTCACCAGACATCTCATTTAGCTCTCCAAGCTCCTCCGTCCCTCAGCTCAGAGCATCTCGGGTCCAATTTACTGTATGTAGATTTCACCTCACATCCAACTCCACAAACCTCTTGCCCCCCCCCACCCCGCATGTAAACCAGACACATGGAGAAGCATAACAGCAACACATCTGCTAAGGCGGCCGTGTCTGCTGCCAGCCAGCTGTGCCCAGCAAAAGGAGGGCAGGAGCAGCCCTGCGACTTCAGGATGCAAACCTTGCCTCCTTCTCCCGTGACACCCCAGGTCACCCGCTTGGAGCGTCCAGGCGTCAGGCAGACTCTGCAAGCACATCCAGGGAACCGTTTTGCTCTAGGAATTAATTTTTGCTCAAACACCGTAAGGGAAAAGCTGGAGGATGCCACTTGCCTCTGCCATAGTTTACAAATCACGCAGATAAATCTGAACCTTTTGAAATCAGTTAAATGACTACCAGGGACACCAAGTCCCAGGCTCCTTGGCATCAGTGCCTATAATGGTCAGCAATTGGTGTGGGTGGGAATATTGGTTATTTGCATAAACAGTCTGTAACCATGGCTACTGCTATGGAAATTAAAGCCCGTACAACAGAAAGATTTGGCTGTACCTCCCTGCCCTCAGCAAAAGATGAGGGTTAGGTCTGGGGGATGGGAGGAACCACCAACAGACTGGAGACACAGGGCACGGGGCCTTTAAGGGGCCAGATGAGACCCCAGAAGGGCTGGGAGGGGGGACCCAGCACCTGAGCCCGCATGGCTGAGGGCTGGCTCCGGAGACCACAACACCAACCAGGAAAAGCAGCTTCTCCGGCGGGAGCCACCCTTCGGTGAGAACGTGAGAAAAGGGCATGACAGAATGGAAAACCGAAGAGAGGTGACCACTTGTCTCGGGAAGAGAGACTTCTGCACAGCCAGAGGAGCTCCAGCCAGGTCCAGCTCACGCTGCCACCGACTGCGCGGGGTCTTTGGTGCTGCGCGGCCGGCAGCGCCCGCGTAGCCCCGACGCGGCCAGCGGCAGGGGAAGGCTCTCCCCAGGCTGGAGCCGCACCACCACGGAGCGCGGCCGTTCCCATCGCGCTCAGCACCTCCTGCGCAGGAGGTGCGACAGCCACGCCACGCTCGCTCTGCACATCAGGACACGGCACGCCGGTGGGAAGGGGACAGCATTTACACAGCAGTGCTGCCCACAGCCCCTGCTTAGAGGGAAGCGGCTCAAACGCTGGCTTGCCAGCAGCAGGAGGGTGCTGGCTCTGAGAAGCCAAGGTTTGCTTTTAGTATAACGTAGGTGCCAATTTAAAGCTTAGCCACGGAACCTCTGCAAGCGCAGGGAGGACACAGCTGACTCCCCCAGTAGCTGCAAGTACCGCGCACTTCACATTGGGTGGAGGGCTGCTAGGAGAGATTTAAGCCAAGAGCAGTATTTCCTCATTTTCTTTCTAGAATCTGAAAGTGTTTTAGTTGTTAAATCATCTTCCTGACTTCAAAACAAACAGTTTTAAATATAAAGAGCTGGCAAGCAGCTTGTGAAAGATGAGATTTTAGCAAACTGATGTCAAGCAGCTGAGAGCTGAAGAGATGCAGACAACAGGCCAGGCCTGTCCTTACACAGTCGTCCTCCCCAGAGCAGCATCCCTTCCCATCTCCTGGCCAAACGCGTTAACCTCTCCATCCCCGCTGCAGCCCTCCCACAACCTACCCTGGGATCTCATTAGCAACTTGCTAATTTGCTTACAGTCACTGGGAAAAATTTAATGACAACAGAACCATTGTCCCGCTCCCCACTGCTGCATGTAACCTTTAACTCCCTCTGTGCAAAGAGGCTGCGCTGGGGAGAGAAGGGACCCAGCGTCACCAAGGCTGGGCACCCGGTCCGGGGGGGTAACGCGTGCGGGCGATGCTCGGGCAGCCTGGGAACGCAGCCGAGCACCGGCTGCAAGCCGGTGGCCTGCTGGGTGACGTGCTGGGAAGCAACGCCCTACACACGTTCACTTTATCTCTAATAAGCCAGCTCTGTGTATCAATACTATGGGCTAGGAACAACACACGGGGCACGTGGCTGAGCACAAGCCCTGAATGCGTGCACGTACCGGGGGACCGAGCACGTTGCTCAACTACGTGCCACTCCTGACTGCCCCTCACTCCAGGCTCAGTGCTGGGCTTTCAGCTTCCTCCTTGCACTGTGCCCTTAAGATGGGCAATAAATTTAAAACTGTGAACACGCAGGCTCTGCTATATAGCTGAACCCCTTATAGCCTTATATCCCAACAGTGGCACTCCTGATTCAGAAAGAGTCTGATTAATCCCCCCCGTGTCCTGAACCTTGGCATGTTGGCACAGCATCTGTGCGCGCCTGTAAATAGCCCGGCTGCGGTCGTGCAGAATGGTGTACGTGCCGGGTACCTCGGCGGGAGCGACGCAGAGCGCAGCAGTAGCCGCGAGCGCAGCACCAAGCGCTGTGGGAAGGAGAGCAAGGGAACTTCGGAGGTTCCCCTAGTTGCAGCATTTGTTTTAAAAAAATATATTTGTCGATACCGCATCAGACCCAACGCTTGGGGAAGGCAGTAAGCACAGCCTCTGCCAGAGCCTGTGGCCAGCAGATAACACAGGCCGGAGGGTAGTCAGGAGAAAAACTGATGGAGCAGAGAACACGCTCCTGTTTGGGGAACAAAAGCATCCTGCACTGAAGACCCCAATTACCAGGCTGAGCCTCAGCTATTGCAGGTGCAGTGGCAAGAGGAATCCTCTCTCAGACAAAGCCGGTTCTTGCCGCACCCCAAGGCGCAACAGGGAGGCTCTCCCGCGAGCAGGGATCCAGGTGAGCGGGGGGACAAGCAGGGCCTCCGACAAGAGCCTGCCAAGGGCAGCAAGAGCCATCCCCATTTCTAGGCTTCCCAGGGATGCTGCAGGGCCCCTCACAGCCCAGACCCGGGAGGAGCTCTGGACAGGTCAGGCTGGAGACACCTTTTAGCAACATCTCCTCGAGCAGAAGCCGTGGCCTTAGGAGAGCCCAGCTTCACTTCCCTCTTCAGGGGCTGCAGCGGGACAGGAAGGCGAAGCTCTCCCCAAGGCAAGGAAGTGACCCTGTATGAGGAGCACAGGGGGCCTTCCCCTGTCTAAGGGAGAGGGGCACTTACAGCTACCCAAGAGCTTTCCCGTGAGCCACACTGCCTCATCTCAGGGTGCACAACATGACAGAGTTGCAGGAAACTGCTGTACCTGCCAGGAAGAGCTTTACCAGCTATTGCTGGACACACACCCCTGCAAAGGGAAAAGCCAGCTCTATTCCCTGGTGAGTCACCATCAGTCCCAGGAAGGTACATAAGGGACTCTCCCAGGCTTGCAGACAATCAGACACTGCCCTTTTTGGAGACACCTCCATCAGCTAAAATTAACACTCGCTTGGGTGGTTGCGCGTGGAGTGTGAAAGGAGGCCAGCATCAGGGCTGTGTTGGGAAAAGCCAGGCAAGTCCAGACATCTCCCTGGAGCGTGGAGGGGAGAGGCAGGGCAGTGGGGAAGCTGTGAGAGCTGAAGACTTGCTCTGAGGATGCAGCTTTCCACAAAGTCTTTGCACAGCACAGGGTTTGGAAACTGCCTACACTGCGTGTGGGGTGTCCACAGCAGAGGCTCAGCCAGGCAGGGGCACAGCTGATACTGAGCTTCCCCCTCCTAAGGAGCATACGGAGCCCCAGAGCCTCCAGCAGAAGTTTCTAGGAGGGAGCATGAACCGGCCTGGGCTGAGACAGGCTGGGGGGGGACACAGGGGCATCAAGGACTCGGAGCTCTGGTGTTTTTCCAGGTCTCCACTGCACATCAGCAGAGTTAGGTCTGACAAGCAGCCAAGGGGGCAGGGGGATGGCACTTTTTAGAAAAGTCATTGACGGTGGCATGAGAAGGTGACCCCAGAGAGCCCTAGGATGCTGCTGAGGGACCCCAAGGGGAGAGGAGGGAACCTCAGAGCCCCAGGTACAAGCACTGGTACTTCCAGGACCATCCCCATAGAGCCAGCTGGCATTGTACTGGGGGAAATGGGGACAGGAGAGCACAAGGAACAGCCCCCAAGCTGTAAGAGCTCAAGGGAGCACCCAGGACACCGTAACCGGCTGAAAGGGGACTGCAGCCTCAGGGCTCCCAGAGGAAAGGGAGCTGCATGTAGGAACAGGAGGCGAGACCAGGAGAGGTCCCCAAGGGATGTGCGTAGGCTGTATAGCAGAGGTCAGGGTAACAAAAGGGGATCCCCGAGGACAGAGCCCCAGGAAGGGAGATGTAAGGGAGGAGGAGAAGGTAGTGGAAGAGGAGCCCCTGTCAGAGGTGCAAGGGAAGAGCCTGAGGGCAGCACACAGGGATGGTCCCCAGAGCATCGCCTGGGGACGGTAACGATCACTTGGGAATAGGGCACAGGGCTGGGATACTGCAGAGGGGCAGGGACCCTACGAGCAGGGCACAGGGTTACAGAGGTGCTGGAGAGAGGTACAGCAAAGGGGCACTGAGGCGGGAACCAGGCTGGGGGGGGGCACTCAGGGAGGGGTGTCCCTGGGAGCAGGGACACAGGCAAAGCCCAGGGGACAGGAGCCGGGGGAAGGTGACACTGGGCAGGGTGTGCATGGGGAGAGAAGCCAGGGCTGGGGGTCCTGAAGGGGGGGAGTAGGCACAGGGATGGTGACACTGGGGTCCCATGGAGTGCCAGGGGTGGGTGACAGCAAAGAGGGTGCTGCAGGCAGGGGAAGAGCTTAGCAGAGGCAGGACGTAGGTGGGCAACGGGAGCAGTGCTGGGGACGCCTGGGGCAGGTCTTGCCGAGGGCAGAGGGACCCCGGGTGGGCAGGGGTGAGGCAGAGGTGAGACTGGGGGCACCAAGGGTGCAGCAGAGGGACCCCAGGGGGGCTGCTAAGGAATAACAAGGGTGGGGGTGACGATGGGGGGAGCAGGGGTGCAGCAGGGGGTCTCCCCAGAGCAGATGCTACCAAGAAAGAAATTAAGCAAGGGGTGATGCTGGGACAGGGTGAAGCTGGGGTGGCGGCACTGGTGGGCGAGCGATGCCAGGAAGGGGGGTCCTAGGAATTACGTGGTGCTGAGGGTGCCCTGGGAGAAGGGGGGGGACAATACCAGGGTGCCCTGCACAGGTATCCCCAAGGTTACCTGGGGCAGGGGACGGTCCCCAGGGGATGCGAGGGAGATGGCAGCGCCAGGGTGCTGGGCTGGCGGGGAGGCATGGTGGAGGGTGCGCCGGGGTGGACAACCCTGGGGAGGATGATGGTGGCATCCCCCAGAAGGGTGCCGGGGTGCTCCAGGGGTGATGGCAGAGGG